ATACGCGCGATGTTTCCAAATGGAATTAAGTTTAATGAAGTCGCTGGTTGCCTTTACGTACACTTTAATAATACTACAGCTATGGTCTTAGCGATGCGTTATTTGCGTTTTATCTGCGTTCTTAGAGTTCTACGAGTTCTGGGAGTTCTAACAGTTCTGGTGGTTCTAACAATTCTGGTGGTTCTAACAATTCTGGTGGTTCTAACAATTCTGGTGGTTCTAACAATTCTGGTGGTTCTAACAATTCTGTCTAACGTTCTAGGTGCCTTCCCGCTTGTCACCTCGGTTTTTTTGTTGATTGGTGTATGATGGGTTTTGGTGGAGGAAATGAAGCGTTTTTGGTTGGAGATGGGTGTGTCGGAAGGAACTTGAAATGAGGAGTGGGAAACTGTTCGAAAGTTCGGGTTGTAAATTTTCCGTTTTGGGAAATATGGAATTTATGAGTCGTGTTGTCCGTTCGTCGGGTCGAAAGGTATTTTCGTTCGGATGCATTTTTTACTGTCGCAGGTATCGCTTAATTGCTCAAGGGATGGCCAGGGACGTTCGACCTTCGGTATTGCCGTCGCAACACTCATAATATAATTAATTCGATTCCCGATCACAGGTTGTAAGAAATTCACCCGCGGTTAGCCACCGAATCAGCAGCTAATGAAACCAAAAGGAGAAACAACGTACGCGGATCATTATAAATTCGGGAAATACGTAAACCTATTCGTGATCGCGCCGAGAGCATTGATTAACCATAGATACGATCCTTTGATGTTTGCTCCGCGTATTCGAGGAAATTAGAAACACTCAACGAATTTACGCAAAACCCTGTTCAGGGAGTATACGGCGCATATGTGTATATGTATATGTATTATGTATATGTATATGTATACGAATATGTGCCAAGCGAACAGTTTGGTAGTCTGTATGGAAACGTTTCGTGACAACGAAGCTGAGGCGCGAAGGTTCGGACGTGCAGCATACTCGGATCAAACGCGAGACAGTTAACGATGCCGACAAGGAGAAACTTTCGTCGTGAGCTGCAACTTCTGCCGCGGAAATTCACGCGGATTGAAGACCGGCGAGGGCTGTACGAATCATGGCGAAAGGTACGACCGAGTAAACGCGCAGAGAGTTTTCCTGCCGTGGCCGCTGTCTGGTCACTCGAGGGAGCATTCTACTTTGTGGCCCAGAAAAGTGGCCTCCCATTCAGACATTTTTCCGGTTTCCACTGGAAAAACCAGCAACCCCAATCTCTACACACTCGTTTATGAACGGTAGAGCGATCTTGTTATGGTTAACCCCTTGCACTGCAACAACGATGAACATTTCAGACATAGCCACTATAATAATAACTACTCAATAATAATCCTTTATTTTTGATCTCACAGCCAAGAAAAGGAACATGGCTTTACAAATGTAACCTAAATCCATTCATTCATCTCATTCACACATTCCACTCGTTCCACACCGCTTATTTCTTAATCTTATCTTAAACTCTACGCTTACTCCTGCCTTTGGCTCCGAGTTTTATCCTACCATTGTATAAGGTGTCCCTGAAAGATATGTATAAGCGTGCTCCAGCTGATTTCTTATGAAAAAATATGGAAGAAATGCAGATTAACCTTTTTTTTTCGTTTCGAGTTTAGTTTTCGAGAAAATCGAGTTTGAACATTTGCTTTATGCTTACAGTGAATTTTCAAACTCGATTTTCTCAAAGATTGAAAGACGCGTTTGTGTAGGATACTTTGATTGAAATAAAAAAGCATAATTGCACGAAAGAATGTATTCTCGACGTCCATCTCCACTTCACGATGAAGGTCAAAAATTTTAATCAAATATTGAGTATACATTCATTGAATTATTTGATTATCGTTTGTTTTAAGAAAATCAGAAATAGGATCCTACCAATGCGGTCCTTTTTAAAATTTTCATTATTGCAAATAGCGAAAATATAGCTTTATTTTTTGAAAAATACTATCATACATTATGGTAGTATTTACCTATAGATTATAAGTAAAATTTTACTGTGATAACTATTCTTTTGTGTAATAATGATAATAGGAAAGGAATGCACTTCCCACATCGAGCAAAGGTAATATTTGTATTTGTCAAACATTTAATACACATCCAACAAATGGACCTGAATTTTTTATCAGTTTCGCATGGAACACTGCGAACGTTTCCTGACAAGCCTCATAATCCATCCAGCTTATTTGTTCTGCGATTTATATATTCAATGAATTCATCACACTACCTTCAATCTATAATGTTTAGTATATTTCATTGTCGAATATTCTGCGCTGATCCTCGGATTGATATAGCAAAAGAGAATTTTCCATAGAAACGCGATATGTATTTATAAGGATTTTGCTTCGGTGAAAAAGAAATCACAGTGACAGAGATATATTCAGCGGATTAATAATTAAGTTATGCAAGATACACCTCCGAAGAATTATAAATATTGGAATTAATATGTTTTATTGCAGGATTTACGGCTCCGCGAAATTCGGGAAACAAATTGCGGAAATTCGCAAGCCAACAATATACGAAGTAATTAAACAATAACGTAATTGTAATAAGCTGGAAGAACACTTGCGAGCTGTAACTGCAATTAAACTGGAAATTACACGTTATGTTCAGTATCGATCGTAATTTAAAACGAACGCACTTTACATTTTACGTGTACACTAGCTTGGCTGCTTCAGGAAGTGCGCTTTAAGCGCGTACGAGCTTATTGTACTTTTTACAATTTATTTTGTGTTTTACTGTTGAAATTAGTAAATTCTGTGGATTGGATTATGATTGTTGTATCGTGGTTATGTTGTACAGGATTGTACGTAAAACAGAGCTATTTCTTTATAATCAATATCAAATATTTACGATGTGTGTCATGAATAAATGTTAATGATTCTATCGAATAATTTTATACGCATTTTGTCTACAGTCACATAACAAATTTATAGAAATGTTTGCTTCGTTAAATAGTTATGACATAATACCATAAACACTTCTAGTAGATGTTTAATTATATCGTCTAAGAAGATTATTTCTATTTAACTTTTCACAGTTAGAATCATTTTAGTCATTATCTAAAACATATACAGATACTACTAAACTACATCAATCGTTGTAAATGATCATTTTCTATATTTTTATAATTTTAACATTTATAGATGATATTCATCCTTTTGCAAAATTATTTATAACCAAATCCATATTAAAGTAAAAACTTCAATGACATCATATAAATGATTATTGAAGATTAATTACTTGTAATGACAGTTCGGTCATTTTACATTTTACAATATAAACTTATATTAAATTAAAAAATTGAATTGCTAAATGTTCTTCCAACCTTCTTACATTTTGCAAATCTTAATCTTACATTGGAGCGACGTACGTAGTACTATACACGTTGCCTTTATTAATGAACAAGGTAATAAACAAATAATGAAGTTCATCGTACTGAAGAAAATCATTAACAAAGATCTTCGACACACAGATAATTTTATAAATAATTGTTTTAAAAAGGCTCGTCACAGACATCTGTCAATAAATTTGCAGCGCAAGAGGTTTAACTGTGAAAAATAATTCCATCTCCGAAGTTAAGGCAAGCCTTTCTTCGGGGTCCTCTAATTCCGTCCACCAACGCGAACGCCAAAAATGTGGTCACGGTAAACCGCAAGGTGAACAGGGTCATCGTCAACACCATAAAAGGGTCTCTGCTGGGCTCGACCTGGCAGAGCAAGAACGCGAAGCGACAGGAAACCTTTTTTTCGCAACGGCGGCGAGAGCCGATCGCAATAAAAGGTAACCCGAGCTGCGCCGCAGAGACTTCGGATTGTACAATGGTAACAAACGTGATAGGAAATACGGTTGGTTCTCGAGTGCATCCTGCGCCCTCCTCGGGGTGCATCGAAGGCTACGCCGTCGGCGTCGCGAGAGTTGCGATGCGACACACGCGCGGCTCGCGTGCACCGGAAAGCGGAAAAGAGCGGCGTCGCGGGGCGGGACATGCGACAAGGGTGCATGCGGGACATGCAAGGTGCACGCTGGGTGCGCGCCGGCTGCGCCGAGGAGTTCTCTGTAAAGCCGAGTCCCCACTGCATCGATTTTTGCCAATTGGCGCGACCAATCGTTGTTTAGGATGTTTTTTGAAGTGTAGAAAAAAATGGTCACGTTTTTATGCTTCAGTGACAATTACCGCGTTAAACATCAATTATACAGTTGTGAAGGTGAGCACAAGTGTAAAGTGTAAAAAAATTCGATGTAAAGACTATAATTTCTACAAATTATTATAATGTATGCTGTTTTTTTAAGTAGAATGTAACTAGAATGTTCTTTGGGGTTAGTGTTTTTAATATTGTTAACCAGCGAATGTGTAAGTTACTAACAAAATAAAGTGTTACGCATAAATTCTGGATACGTAGAGAAAAAATTGTATTGCATACCTCAACTTCCTGTCAAAATTCTTATTAGGGATTCGGGTTCATAGTTTCATCATGCAGTGTTCGCGAAAATTTTCTAAGGTTAATCGCGGATTGGCTTGTTAGTAATCTTCGTCACGTCTCTTTCGAATTTTATGAATGATGTTCAAAAGTGTTTCTAGTAGGATAGTTCTAAGTATGAGTTTTAAAAAGTAGGATGGACGTATAAACAGCATGTGCATATTGTATTTTTGTTCAAATAATTTTTGTACTTCTTAAATTTGATTTTTTTTAATTTAAACTGTAATGTTAGCCATATTTTGTGTTTTGAGATTAAGCCCAGATTCGTAATCAGCGACCATGAAAGCCTTCAATGACAAATTTCCAATTAAATCCGAGTTGCCTTTATGCCTTCGCTACTTTCTCGGAATTTGGGACTACTGTGTGACGCAACGGGGACGCGGATTTTGCAAGGATGGGCACAATCGATCGACGAAGACGTGCGACAATGTCGAGTAGCAAAAGCCGACGCAATGGGGACGGATGGATCTTAACTTTGGAAAATTCGTGGTATGTACTTACACACTACCGTCAGGTTTTTCGAAACCGCGGCCGTGGAGAAGGTCGGCGCGTCCGCGGTGACTTCGCATATGAACGTGCCGGTGAGGCTGAAGTCGACTTTCTCCAGCGTTACCTGGCTCTTGTTCGAGTTGGCGTCCTGAAACACACGGATCGACGAAGGTGTGTAAAGTGAATGCAAATGGATATCAACGGTGCCGCTGCCCGGGGAGGCGCTGAAATTCTGCTCGTCGATTAACGATAACTCGATTTACCTGGCGCGGTTATAATTCGAATTAAATTCCGCATGGCTGCGGCGAACCAGCGAATATATATCCGCGCGTCTCTCGACTGTTTGCGCGAAATTAAGCGCGTACGCGGTTCATTGCGTTCTTTTATTTCGCCGCCGCGTTTCCCTCTCTTTCTCTCTTTTTCTATTTCCCTTATTTTACCTCTCTCTCCCTCTCTCCCTTTGTATTTCCCTCATTTCATCTCTCTCTCTTTCTCTCTCCATTTCCCTCTATCTATCTCTTTCTACTTCCCTCATCCCCCCTCTCTCTCTCTCTCTTTCTATTTTCTTCATTCAATCTACCTATCTCTCTCTCTCTCTCCCGCTCTTTACGCACTTCCCGTCCCTCCCAGTACGTTTGTCTGTCCCCACTCTGATTCTCGTTTTTGCGCGAGGAAAAACTGATAAAAATATAACGCCGAATGGACGACGGTAATTACGAAAGCGCTTTGATAGTATGTTTTAATTAATCGATGAAAACGCGTTTCACTCAGTCACCGTGCGCAACGGATTTCAATTTCGACTTAAATTGAAAGGTCGGAATAAATCCATTCGATCGCGCTATTCTTTGGACAGTACGGGTGCTTTTTATTCGTTACAAGTTTGTGTGGGCAAATCAGCGAACAGCTTTTGTTGGTATGTTTGCGCGGCAAAGAATAGTAAGCTGGAATTTGTGCATTGTGAAATGTATTGGGACTCTTGGAACGAAGTATTTCGACCTACATCCACAACAATTTATAACGAGTTCCTTCTGAACTCCAAAAGTTATCGTGCTGTATGAATCGTGTTGTAAAAACAAATGGAATCTAAAACTTTTTGCAGATCGATTGCAACGGAGTGACATTAAATATACATTTCAGTAAATGCTTGCAGTATACAGACGAAATGTTTTGGGAACAGAGATAAATAAAATTTTGAATCTGTGTAGCATTTTTTCTGCTTAAAACTTTTTGACGTAATACGAATGAGATATACTCGAATTGCGGAGGGTCGACTTTAAATATCTCGAGTACATTTACAGATACGCAATCTGAATTTCAAAATGCACGTATCAGTGCAAGAAATCTTCCATATCTCTGGCGAACATGCAGGTCATGCCATATTATATGTCACGTGTGCTATGCGCAAACCTCGAATTTTGAACAGTTTTTCGAACATCCACTGACAGATGTCTTGGAACTTTTTTGGGTAGCTGCTGCTGCGGCTGCATCGATCCTCGATTTTTCAACCGTGTTTTATATTCCTCCCGTCGTGTACACGAGATTCTTTGACATTTATTAACGGTAGATAAAATTAGCGCAGCAAATGGAGATTTGTCTAGCGATAATGCGGTGGCGGTACACTAATCGTATCAGTAAAATAGGGCGAGTAGATAGATATCGCTATGTTAATTCTATTGTAATGTATCTTGGTACGATATCCCGTTGTACGGTAAAATAATCTGACATGCTCGCGTATATTCACCGACTGTTAATTCGCAAACATTATTAACGATTGTATTCCGGAATCATGGTCGATATTGAATAATCGAAACAGGAGCATAAAAGCTTATTATATGTATAAAACGAGTCCCGAATTGACCGGCAATTCAGTTTTCCCAGCGCAGTTTATGCATCGAATTATGCATTCTCATTATACCACTGGTTTCCACAAATCGGTTTATTATTATTGACTTGTTATTTTCGCAACGTATTACATTTTCATTAATGTGCTTCGAAGGATCGTGCTTCGAACGTAACACGCTAGAAGGTTCGTTCAATTCGATTCTCTGACATATAGTTCCAAGAATACACTCATTTTTCAGATAATTACAATTTTTTACGTGAATGAATTGAATAGATAGGTATTTTATGTAATTATATTTACACTATTTTGAGTTTAGTAAAACGAAAACGTTTGATGTTCTAGATTTGCCCACAAATTCTACAAGTTTTAATTTTTGATAGGAGTTCTTGCATTACGTCACTCGAACTCGCTGTTGCGTTTTTAGTTTGATTATTTCTTTTTCACGAAATCTACATTTACAATCTACATAAAACTGTTAGCAGATTTTTTAATGTCTTGAATGTGTGCAGCCATTTCTACGAAGATATTTTTAAATCGAATGAAGTACGTAGTTTACAAAAGTATGACATTTTTTAAGTACTCCATGAATATTTCAAACTAGTTGCAACAAAATCGATGAAATTGCAATCGTTTATAGTGATATACCAAAAACCACCGCAACATTAAGCTTTCCAGACTTATATCTAAGACACTCTTGTATCACTCACTTTGAAATCAAAATTGAGTAATTCATTATACAGGGTGTCCTAAAACTGTCTCGCAATCCAGAAATGGGGAGATCCTGAGGTCGCTTGAAGTAACTTTGTTTACGAGTTATTAAAGAATAGTGGCCAATGAGAGGCGAGATCAGCTGGCGCGAGACGGCCGAGCCAATGAGCGGAACTAGGACTTCCTGTGCTCGTTGTCTGGGCCGCCTCGCGCCGCTGAGCTCACCTCTTATTGGCTAAAGTTTTGCGTTAATAACTCGTAAACAAAACAGCGGACTGCATTTTCGCTAAGGAAAAAGTTACTTCAAATGACTTCAGGAATCCCCCATTTCCGGATTGCGCGGAATTTACGGGACACCCTGTATAATTCATAAAAATTACACAAGTCTAAGAGTTGCCTATTTCAATTCAATTTATCGAAAAGAAATCAACACACAGTTATGGAAGGACTCTACGAAAATTATAACCAATTCATCGTATCCGATTAGGTGACCAGTCCGCGCTGGCAACTTTCCCTCCAAAGAATGCTGGTTTATTTCGTCTCCGTATCACATTTCCGACCGCCCGTCTTTTCCCGGTTCCGTAATTATTTCCCTTCCGCCCTTCTTTCGTTAACTATATCCAGGTCGCAGCTGCACACACCGAAGAAAAAACGATCGTGTTCGCTTTTCCGGCGGCGCGGTCCAGCCGAGGGAAGCGTTAATATCGACGCAGGGCACGTCGCGACAAAGGGCGTCTTTTTTTGCTGAATGTATTCTTTGCGAGCCGAGGGAACGCCGCCCGAGGAAATCGTCATCTTATCAGGAATTACCCGGCACTCGGGTAAATTGGCTCGATGAAGCTGGAACCCGGTGGCACGCCGAGGTCGAGATAGCGGCGAGGGAACGCGGGGCACGATAAGGACGACGATATGGGGCACGGTATAGGATATGGGGGTCGTTTCATCGAGAACGGAAAAACAAAATATGCATAATTAGTAGGATTTGAACGATATACTTTAAACGGGCGAAAAGATATCGCGCGGAATGCCGAGGAGAACGATGAAGGAGACGGAGACCCTTGACGAGATTGAGACGGACAGAAAGACGTGACATCGAGCGAGAAAGACAGTGAATAGAAGAGAGAGAGAGGGGGGGAGGGGAGAGAGTGAAAGAGTGAAAGACAGAAAGAGAGTGAAAGAGAATGAAAGAGAGAAAAAGAGAATGAAAGAGATAATGAGAATGAAAGAGAGTGAAAGAGAGAGAAAGAGGGAGATAGAAAGAGAGAACGAGAGTGAAAGAGAGAAAAATAGGAAGATAGATACAGAGAAGAATAGAAAAAGAGAAAAGGAGGAACAGATAAAGATAGAAAGAGAGGAAGATGGAAAGAGAGAAGAGGAGGAAGAGATAAAGAGAGGAAGGAAGTGAAACAGAGAAAAAGAGTGAAAGAGAGGGAAAGAAAGTGGAAGAGAGAAAAAGAGGAAGATAGAAAGAGAGGAGAATAGAAAGAGAGAAAAAGAGTAACAGATAAAAATAGAAATAGAGGAAAATAGAAAGAGAGAAGAATAGAAAAAGAGAAAAGGAGGAATAGATAAAGATAGAAAGAGAGAAGGATAGAAAGAGTGAAAAAGAGTGAAAGAGAGGGAAAGAGAGGGAAAGGAAGTGAAAGTGAGAAAAAGAGGAAGATAGAAGAAAGGAGAATAAAAAGAGAGAAAAGGAGTAACAGATAAAAATAGAAAGAGAGGAAAATAGAAAGAGAAAAGAATAGAAAAAGAGAAAAGGAGGAAGGAAGTGAAAGGGCGTGAAAGAGAAAAAGAGAGAAAGAGACAGAGGGGAAGGTTATAAGGTTCTACGTTTACGTGTTGAACTAAAGGTGCCAATAATAAAGGAAGTAATCTTCATAACACCGTCCTAATGTCATCCGTTGTCATCGAATTGTGAACATAACATTCCACTACGTTCTAGGAACTCGCAGAATCGTTTGTGCTGATACCTTATTAACCTTGAGACTGCCATGCCGGCATGATGCCATTTGAAGTCATTAATACTGCACCGCATTTTCTAGAATAGTTCTCTTTCCTCTGATTTCATTTGTGAGAGATTAAACATTTTTTCTTGCAACTTGTGTCAGATGAAAGAGGAGTGTTCTCCAAAACATAGAACAACATTAACACGTTGACTGCCACGCGTATTTACAACAAAATCTCCTACAGGCCACCCGTGCCGCTATAGGAAGCGTGCGCTGTTAATTCATATCTGTTTCTGTTCCTGCATGAACAGTTGGAATCTTTGCCGAGTACCGAATGGTATAACTTAAAATCTCTGCCCTCATTTTCTGTCAATAATGAAAAGAGATCGGATTGCCCGGAAGGAGAAGCATAAATAAAATTACATCGTCAGATTCTGATTTGGATACTGATAAATATAATCTTAGTGATAATGAATGTTATGAAGATACTATTGACGAGATTTTACGAGAATTGGTCATGGAAGAAGAAAGAAATGTTGATGATACTGAGGAAGCTACAGGTCAAATAAAAGATACGAAATGGACCGATCAGAGGCACGAGCATATCTGAAAAAACAAACAACTTTTTGTCCAAGCTGTCCTGATCAACCT